TAAACATATATATGGTTCTGGATATCAACAACATATTAGAAAATTCAAGGTAAAAGATAATCCATAACTTCTACTTGCTTTCGTAGCGGTAGGAAGACACATTTAGGTAAAGACATTAGGAGGACCACTACTACTTATAATATAGGGTATGCTAAAAAAAGGTAAGAGAGATAATTGCAAGTCCACATCTACTTGTAGTAGAGGACATGCACAAAAAGGTAAAAGATAATAAAGCTCCTAACTGTAATACCTAAACTGTACTATTGACGTGGTCAAATTCTTTACTCACAAGAACAGTGAATGGCAGATTCTTAGGGCATTATAATCAAGATAAAGATAGGGTATAGGTATATTAAATCAAGATATAGATAAGACGCACATCCAATTCAATACCGCTAAAACTGCAATTTTTTTAAAATTGCGTTTATTGCGGTATTGCATTTTTAATGCTTTAAATTATCAAGTAAAATACGCCTACTGACAAGGTCATTAGAAGCAATGATTTTTGCACGTTATGGCCAGAGAACTACGAACGCAGAGAAGCAACACTCCTTTGATCTTGCGTGGGCGAGCCGCTAACGAGTGAAAATGACAGGAAAGCAACTGGGACTTCTCCAAACCGACCATCTTCCTTATTATTAATACGCCCTTGATAGAATGCTTGAAAATGACAACTACAAGCTATACTGGGACCGCACTGTGCTTACAGACCAACCAGTGGCCCATAATAGACCGGTTCTTATACTAGTTAATAAACTTACTAGACAAACAACACTTATTGATGTGGCGATACCCAACACCAATAATTTAGGTGTAAAATACAACGAAAAGATCGCCAAGTACAGAAATCTAGAAATACACATCAGAAGACAATGGAGAATGGAAAGTACCCAGACAGTATCTATTGTTCTATCTACTACTGGTGTTATTCCCAAAAACCTTCTAGCAAACATAAAACAGCTGGGTCTAAATGAACATCTTTATAGGACCATGCAGAAAGCTGTACTCCTCGCAACGTCCAGATGTGTATGAAAATTTTTGGGAGATACTCCAACATACCAAGTCACCTAGGGCTCGATAACACGGAAAGAGTCCCACCAGAGCTCAATCCTTTTGATACCGTAGGTATCTGGGATGAGTGAATTTTCCCCTTAGAGGGAGTGTGAGCCGTATGGCTAAATCTGGATAATAATAATAATAATGAAATGAACTCCTATATAAGGTCATGCAGAAAGCTGTGCTACTTTCGACGTCCAGATGCGTGCGAAAATTTTTAGGAGATACACCGACGTACCAGGTCACCTAGGACTCGATAACATGGAAAGAGTCCCACCAGAGCTTAATCCTTTTGATACTTTTCCTTTTAGAGGAAGTGTGAGCCATATGGCTAAATCTGGATAATAATAATGTTTATTGATTTCAATTTACAAGAATGAAGTATAGTTAGTAGTTTTTTTACATACATTTTAATTTGACATTTTATATTTGTTACTCAAAAATCAAAAAAACATTTACTCATTACCCGTTAAAACCTATTGGTCGAACACGGGAATAGTGTGTGACATTTAATTATATTTATTTATATGTATAATAATCTACAAATATTCTTTTTTTTTTATTTGATCATTATTAATTAGTCAGATCGAAAAGTGTATGCACAAATATACGATCTAGACTTAACTTTTTAAATATAGATTTTACCATATTTGTTGAATTAAGAGTATTAATATATATTTTATACATGTTGGGCAAGTGATTAAATATTTTTGGAGCAAGATACATAGCAGATCTCTGTCCTATTGATTTTTTGATATTTCTCAATTGAACATGTTGATTAGTTTTAGTGAGAGTTTCGTAGTAATGAGGTAAGGTACGCAGAATGTGTTTATGATTGTATGTGTACAGTAGCAGGGAATACATATAGAGTTGCCTCGTATCCATTACATTAGTATTACAGAATAATAAATGAGAGGAATATGAAATTTTTTTAATAATTATTATTATCAATATTTTTTTTTGTAATATATCGACTTTCTTTAAATAAGTCTTTTGTACACCGCCCCACCCAAGTATTCCATATCTAATTCTAGACTCAACTAGTGCATAATATAATCTTTTTAAATATTTTAAATCTATTTTAGATTTGAGAAATTTAAACTTTGGAACTAAAGCTCTTAAACACTTTGTTATTTCATCTATCTGGACATCCCATCTTAAATGAGAGTCGATTTTTATTCACAGATATTTTTGTAGTGGTACTTGATTTTATAATTATATTTTCCCTTGTGTTATTAATTGTTATAGAAGTATAAGAAGGTAGTGTTGCTTTGTAACTGCAAAACGGAACAAAAAACGTTTTGTCATAATTAATGGTTAAACCCTTATAATTAAACCACTTTATTAGTTTGATCATATTTAACTTAATTTTGTTCTTTAAATGTTCCCAATTGCAGTGTCATCGGCAAAACTTATTATCTTTCCCCCAGTATTGAGATTATATAGATCGTTGATATGGATATTGAATAATAGTGGTCCTAATACTGTACCTTGGGGACACCGCATCTTAAGTAAAGTTTTTTGCTGTTTATATTATTTATCCTAACAATTTGTTGTCTGTTGTCCAAGTAAGACTTCAATAAGTTATGAGCAGTGCCTCTTATTCCACTATTTTCTAGTGCTTCTAGTAGTTTTGGATGGCTTACAGTATCAAATGATTTTGCCAGGTCTAGAAACACAAGCAGTAGGTTGGCTATTGTCAATTCGATGGTATATTTCATTGGTGATTGTTATTATTGCGTCATTTGTCGATAAACCTTCACGAAATCCAAACTGTGAAGATAATAATATATTGTGTTTATTAAGGAAAGATGTTAATCTGATTTTTAGACATTTTTCAAATATTTTGGTTAAAGTGGTAATTAGTAATAATTACCAGAATGGTTTCCAATCTCCGATAGGAGTGGAACTTGAGGAAGAAGAAGGTAATTAGTGAGATTGGTCTGTAGTTTGACAAACGTAGTTTACCTCCTTTCTTGTATACAGAAATTACAACTGTTTCCTTAAATTTGTCTGGACATTGACCAGTTTTAAATACTAAATTTATTAGTTCCACCAACGGTTTGATGATTTGTTTATTTATAAGTTTTATTGTTTCTGCTCTAATGTTGTCAATACCGGGTGATTTTTTCTTCTTAAGTGTTTTAATAGTTGACTCAATTTCACTTTCAGAAACAGGTCTTAAATACATAGAATGCATGACGCTGTTGTATTGTGGGAAATACGATGTCGGTGGTGTTATATTCTTGGCATAAGTTTCTCCAATTTCTGTAAAATAATGAGCAAACGAATTGGAGATAGGTTCACCATCTGTTACACTAATTCCTTCTTGTGTAACTATTGCTTTAATATTTCTTTCGGTTTCTTTACCTGTCAAATTTTTAACAATATTCCACAGGTTTTCGAAACAGTCTTGTTTTTCTCAATTTCATTTCTGAAGTAACCTTTCTTGGCATTTTTTATGAATATATTTAGGTGTTTTCTATAATTAAAATATTCATCTTTTTATTAACATTATCGGGATCTTTAACATGTTTACGATATAAGAGATTTTTCGTGTTCATGGATTTAACCAGTCCTGCAGTTATCCAACTTTGGCGCTTCTTCTCATGTTTTTTGTATTTTTTTATATAACTATTTTTTAATGTAAGTTTGTTAAGAATTTCACATAACAAATTGCATTTGACATTGACAGTTTTTGAGGCATTATATTCACAACAGTCATAACTTTCTAAGTCTTTTTTTAGTTCTTTGTAATTGATTATGTGTTGTTCGCTGCTTAGTTTTGTATAACCATTTTTTAGGTTAAGTGGTAAATAAATAACAGTCGCTTTATGATCAGTAAGACAAGTGTCCACGACTGCTGCTTTAGTTTGTCTAATAATTCCCTGTGATTTTAAAAAAATGTGATCAAGACAACTTTTAAAATTTCCTTGTATTCTTGTATATTTGCTGACCATAGATTCAAATTGGTATTCATACATCAAATTGAAATACTCGTAAGCACATTCATTAGTTATATCCTTAATATTAATATTAATGTCCCCAAGTAGTATATGGCATGCTAACCCCGTTCTTGTTTTTACTGTTGTAAATATTGTTTTAAGTCTTCAAGGAATTCCTCCACGTCACCAAATGGTGAACGATAAAGACAAGTAACTAAGATTTTCTTATTATTTCTAACTGAATAAGTAGTTCGATTGCTTGGGAATGCCCAATCATTACCTTTTTATCTGAAAAAGTAATGGTTTTTTATATATACTGAAACTCTGTCATTTCTATTGAAGTTTGAATCACTATACAAGAATATGTATTCATAGTTATTGTAATATTGCACATCACACAGTTTAAAAGTTTCAGTTAGGACTATCAAATCAAAATCTGAATTTAGTTCACTTAATACTGCACTAAATGCGTCAATGTTTTTGTTAAGCTTTTAATATTTTGGTGAATTATTTTTAAGTTAATTTGATTATTTTTTAGTTTAATAAACTCATTTAGTTCCACAATTTATCTCGTAAGTATCATAAGGTTCAAAATCTCTTATAAATTGATCCATCCTAATGGATTACACACTATTTAATAAAACAACTAAAATATGTATATATATCGACAAATCACAAGTATAGAACAAAATAAACAACACAAAAAATCAAACAGTGGACGCTTAGTGTATATATCAACAAATCAATTATTATTTAAATCAAAAGTAATAATATCAAACTGAAAGCTTAATGTATATATCAACAATTTAATTAATCAATTCAAGACTTAATCAAACCAATACGTAATCTTAGTGTATAGATCAACGAATAACAATGTATAGAACAAAAGGAATAGAACACAAAAAAAAATCAAGGCAAGTAATATGGAATGTCGAAAATAATTTAACTTTTGTGGAATATTTATTTGAATTTGTTGGAGTTTGTTTATTTATTTGAATTCTAATTATGTCTTGTTTTATAAAATAATTTTTTATTAGGAGTATTTGCTTTATTTTCTGCAACAGAGTGATTTCTTTCCTTACCAACTGCAGTATTTGAATTGAACACAGAATTAGGATTGATTTTGATGTTCCCTTCCTTTAATTTCTGTTCTGTCTGTAGTCCTTGAACCTGTTCCTCCTCTGTCTTGTCTTCCTCTGTTATTAAATTTGTCTTTTTCGTTATCCTCGATTTTTCTTGCCTAAGAATGGGTGTCCCCGGATCACTACTGATGGTTCTATTTTCCAATTCTGTATTTGATTCTTGCTGGAGATCTGCGGCTGTATAGGAATCCTCGTTAATGTACAGTTTATGATTTTTTATAAAGCAGGTATTGTTTATGTCCTGCCTAGCGAGTAGTAGATGTTTGCGGAGTATTTTATGTTCTTCCTGTTGCTCTCTTGTAAGATCTTGCGCAATATTTATACTTGTTCCTTTTAAATTTTTTAGTTTCTTCAATACTTTTAATTTTGTAAGAAATGATACGAATTCGATTTTGATTAGACTTTCAAGTTGTTTTCCCAGTGTGTAGATATTATTTATTTCAGTTTCGGTGATAGTTATGCTTAACAGATTGTTCAGTTAATCAATGATACTTTGAATTTGTAATTCTTGTTTTTCTTGAACAATCCCAAAAATAACTATGTTATTTTGTCTTTTATATTTTTCAGTGTTTTCTATTTTTTTCTATAAGTATTCATTTTCTTTTTTTAAATATTTTACTTTGAGTCGTATTTCTTCAATTTGTAGAGTTAATCTTACTTCTGAAGCACTAATCAAATTCTTTAGATCGCTGTTTACTTTTCTTATTTCTTCCAACAATTCATTATTTGTAACTACAATATTTTCCATTATTTTATTTAAATTATTTCAAATAGTGTATGGTCACTTAATATGGTAAATTAATTCGAGTTTAGATAAGAAAGCAAATTGCCTTTGTTTTTTTAATATACCTGCTTTGTTATTTCTAAGGTTATGAAAGTTTACATTATTCAAACTGGCAATGTTTAATGGGTTCTTTTTATAGTATATGCGTTGTTATTCTTATATTTCACTTACGATTTTATTTTTATTTTAATCCGCTATATTTCCAAGACTCATCAAATTTCGTTATCGGTACCACATACACACTTGCTCACATAAACGCAGCCACACACTTGGCATTATTGTGGGTATAATAGAGATATAACAATAACAATGGGAGATTTTAATGCGAAATTAGAAAATGGTAAATTCCAAGACGTTATTGGTGAGTTCGGACTAGGAATAAGGAACGAAAGAGGGAAAAGACTCACGGAATTATGTCAGGAGTTTGAAATGATAGCGACAAATACATCCTTTCAGTTATGACCACGTAGATGATATACATGGAAATTGCCTATGGATAGCAAAAAAAATTATTAGAAACCAGATAGGTTATATCCTTATTAATAAAAGATACCGTAACTTCATCAAATCGGCAAAGACATATCCAGGAATAGATGTGTCATCAGACCCCAATCCAATATTCGTAAAATTCAAAATCTTCTTTAAGAAAATAACAAATCGACATAAGACACAACAAATAAGCACTATGCTAAAACACCCGAATATAAAAGGAGAAATAACGTTGAAAATTAACGAGGAGAAATACCAACGAAAAACGGGAAACATTTGAGAACACATTAATGATGCCAATTAAAGTTACGCTGAGTGGTCGTAAAATCGATGAAGCTAAGACTCCATGGATGAAAGATGAGATCCAGCAACTAATGGACAAAAGAAGATCACACAAAAACAAAAATGTAAACTAATACAAAGCCACACACAAGGAGATCAGGATAAAAATACCGGCAGCTAATGAAAAGTGGTACAACGACAAATGTTTAGAGATAGAAGAACTCCAGAGAAATCATGATAGTTTTGAATTGCACAAAAAAATTAAAGAATAGTACCCAAGAATAGTAGTAGCCCAACAATTGCGATTGTTGATATAGGTTCGAAAAATGCGAAAAACATGATATAGGTTCAAATATAACTAAGGATGAAATAATACATGCAATAAATCTGGCAAAATCTAATAAAACTGCAGGGCCTGACACAATTCCAACTGAAATAATTAAATTAATATCAGAAGATTAGATTAATGTATTAGTAGACTTATATAATGAGATATATATTACGGGTATTGTTCTGAAAGATTTACTCAAATCAACATTTATTACATTACCAAAAAACCCAATGCAAGGGAATGTAGTGACCACCGTATAATTAGTCTAACGACTCACATACTAAAAATATAGTTAAAAATTATCCATTTAAGAATTTCAGAAAAGTGGAAAAAGACATCACTGAAACCCAATTTGGATTTAGAAATGCCATGGGTACACGAGAGGCATTATTTGGATTTAACATCCTCATGCAAAGATGTATGGATGTAAACCAACCACTTTGTTTGTTTTATTGATTACAATAAGGCGTTCGATAAGGTCCGACACAATTATCTTATACCGTTACGTAAAGATAAACAGATTGACAAAAAAGACTTAAGAATATTAACTCATCTCTACTTTAACCAAACAGCGTTACCTCTACTCTGATCAAAAGTCAGAGTAGGCAAAGAACTTTCAGAGAAAGTAGAGATAAAAGAGGCGTAAGGCAAGGTTGCATACTCTCCCCTTATTGTTTAATCTATATTCGGAAGAAATAATTAAAAAATCACTCGAAAATATAACAATTGCAATAAAAGTCAACGGCAGACCCATCAATATAATTCCGGTTCCGTCGACTTATTCAGAGTTGCAAACATAAAAGTGAAAATAGCTGTGATGATTACCAACCTCCTTAGAGGAGACGGTACCTAAAAAAGAAAAAATAAGCGTTACATACTATGGGTCTAGAAGCTATTGTCTCAAAGACAAGGTACATGAAAACAACTCGGAAAAATTACAAAGGAAAGACACTCATATATATTTAAGGGGCAAAATTAAAAAAAGCAGAGTGTTTCAAATATCTAGTATCAATAGTTATAGAAGGAAATAAAAACCGTGATAAGGTAGCCGCGAGATCTTAACTTGGAAACGAATGCTTCTATAGCCTACAGAATATAATAAAGTCAAAATTAGTATCTATTTACTCAGAAATAAAAATATACACAACAGTTATGGGACCCGTAATAACGTATGCATCAGAAGCATGGACTTTAACTAGTGAATAAGAGGAACACTTTCTTAGATTAGAAAAAAAAAGTTTAAGGAAAATATATGCACCTGTACAGGATAATGGAGAATGGCGTATAAGAATGAACTACAAAATAAATGGAATATTTAATAGAGCGACTATTACAAAAGAAAATACTGAGTAAACGACTGAGTTGGTTGGGACTAGTAAAATGGATAATTGATAAGAGAAATACAAAAACAGTACTTAGAAAAGAATTAAACGGGAAGAGACGGAGAGGTAGGGCCAGAAAGAGATGGATTGATGGTATTAACCAGAATTTAAAAGAACTGTAACGAAATATTTTGTATACCACATATGTTATTATTATAGGGGGTTGAAAATTAAGGACAGAAGTAAATAGGGGTGGAGATAGGACAAGCAAAATAAACGAATCTGTTGCGAACGGCTCTCAGGGTTTATTTGGAAGCTGGGTCGTGGATAAGTGAATGGCATGGGGGTTGTATTGGGAAAACTACAAAAATAAAACAAAGGGGTACTTACATGAATGTCCTGGAACAAACAAAATACAAGAAGGCCCTCTACCTATTGAAAATAATGACGCCGCTTTAAGTAAACGTCCTGCTGGATAAAAGAAAGGTTCTTTCTTCCTAAAAAACACAAGAAAAGGGGTTAGAATCTTTTTTTTAATACATAGATGGTTTGAGGAAAAAAATCAAACATTATTTGTTGTCTCACCACAAACAGTTAGAAATATAGATAATACAAAAATATCAAAAAGAGACTTACTTTGTCCTATTTCTCATATAATAATAGCTACAAAAAAATAAAATAACAAAGAGAAACACTTACTATGTCCTATCCGTTTAAAAACTCTAGAAGTTGGAGATACTAAAAAAACTTACAATTGTTACTGGGCTCTAATTTGTAGCAGAAATAAATCACTACAAATAAAAAATTATCTTGTTAAATGAAACTATGCATAGTGCTTAATCTTTTTCTAAAAAAAAACAAAAACAAAGTCTCAAATATGATTAGGTATTTATCATATGTCAAAAATAATAAAACTAGCTGTCATACATATGTCAAAACTAAATTTTAAAACAAGGAACAATTAAAATGACAGCTAAGCCACGCCTAAGACATATAATTTTTATTGCAATTTCTTTACAAACTCTTTGAACGCAATTATTATTAGAAAAAAATGTATATTTTTACTTTAAAGGTAAAAACAAAAAAGTTACCTGGATTTCACTAAAATGCACTTTAATTTCTGGGGTTGAAAACTAGACTTACATTGGACTTTAGAATTTCTGCCACACAAAAAAACGACATTTCACAGAGCGAATTATGTTCTGAAACGGCCTCTTAGGACATTGAGGTTGAAGTTGGCACACTGGACGTACAATTTAAAGCTTCGCTTTTAAAAAAACTGGGAACAATGTGGGTATTTTTCAAATTTGTTGTATTCGCCGTTTTACAAATACTTTGGATGAGAGACGGCATACAACAAAAGCCAGTGATTACTCTTATTTGAACTGACACATTACTTTGAGTATAAATCACCTTTTTTTTAACAAATTAGTTGGTTTTTTCTGACTAAATTGAACACGTCTGTTCTTGACCAAATATTCAAACCTGACTTCTCTTCGATCTTAGATCGATCTCTGTACCCGCTTCTAGTCTTGCGTCTTACTACTCATACCGGTCCTCTCAGCCGAACAAACCATAATTCTTGTCAAACCGCTTTAAATTATATCGTAAAATGACCTTGAGTCATTCCAAGTTTTTAGAGTCTCAAAACTAACGTATACAAATGAATAAAATCCTATTTAAACTCGCAATTACCACTGGAATTTGGATTTTTCCAGTTTACATCACAAAATAAACAGAGAATCGGCGAGATATATTATGCTTAGCCCAAAAGCGTAATAGAAAATTTTTTATTCTTGAATATTAGATAGTTTCTGCATGCTACAGAACTAGGAATATGATAATGGGAACAACAAGGAAAGAAAAGAAAAACATAGTCAACTATGGTCAAGAAAGCAACATATACATTACACTGAAATGATCTCCCCAAAGACAACAAACTAGAAAGTAACGCTGGACTTTTTGAAAAGTTATGCATATGCCTCCACACTATGTAAAACTTCTAGACTGGAGTCCAGAAACCCGAACGGGTAACCATGGCCCTCCCTAGACCAGATGGTAATGTATAATGGTATTTTTTGGAGTCCAAAATAGTGTTGTGTGCGTTAAAAGCCTTATCCATAATAAATGGGTTAGAAATTTGAGATATTAATTTTCTCATTTAGTGCTTGTGTAATGATAAGACTACCAAAGAGAATTGAAATAATATTATAAAATAATACCACAATCAACTATGGGAACTTATCGTCTATGCTTCGCCTAGATCAGTCTCTAAAGTGTGAATCCGTCTTGTCTTAAGCTATGAATTAAACAATTAAAATTTAGTTGGTAACAAATAAAACAATGAATTAACTAATCATATTTATTTAGCATAAAACAAAATAATGATACCTAGTTTTGCACAAACAAACTCTGCGTATAGCTCTACAATATAATGACATGATACTTGTGGTACCGATCGGTTTCTTGCTTTCTGTATAGAATGTTGTTGCCTTCATATTATGTGGGTAGGCCTTAGGTATTTGTCATTTGAGTGGTCT